AAAAAAAAAAAAAAAAAGTCTGTGTGCAGCTGTCTCTTTAATATGATTGAAAGTATTTTTATTTTACAGTGAAAAAAACCTGATGTATATAAGTTTGTAAGTATCATCATCTTAAACATCTCATCCATAGATGTCATTTTGGTGATTTAATTTGATCAATTACCCTTTTTTGGTTATTAATTTCTCAGGCAATTGGAGTGTTAATATTTTCTTCCTTTCAGGTAAATGACGACAATTTATAGTTTTTTCTTTCCTGGGCTATGCAGATAACTGTTTAATAAATGTTAAGTAACAATGAATCTTTCCTTTGTTCTAGAACTATTTTCATTTCTAGAATTGAACTGAGTCTGTATTTTCATTTATAGCTATGAAGCCTTCCTAATTTTTGAATTTTAAAAATACAGATTTTTCCCACTGGAACTAAGGATTCAGAGTAGAGTCATCATGGCAGTATTGTTCATTTACTTGGCAGTGATTCAAAGTGAAAACAATAACTCTTTTTTTATATATGGAAGTACGATTTTAGTAGTTTTCATTCAGAAGTAATTGTGGAATATGAGCACTTTCAAGATCTAATGATAGGTGAAGTAATAGTATTTTCCCCACTCCTGGTAGCTTATTACAGTCCATATAAAGTCAAATATAAATTGCATATTGTACATTCCAAAAAACATCTTTGCTTAAATGACAGATGATAAATGATATGTTTCTAAACTGATATATTTCATTTTATGTTCCCACTCTATGTGAGGCTTAAAAATATTCTTTATTAACTGCCACTTTAAATGGTCTTGTCCACCCAAATTTATCCATACCTTAATTCCCCCTCTCCTCTTTAAAAAAACAAACAAATAAAATCAGAATTGTGCAGGGAGTTCTGCTCTGATAGCATTGACAGAATTCAATGTGGAAGATGATAGCCATCAAAAAATTGACCTTAGATATCTCAGGAAGGACATTGTTTTGTGGCCTTTGTGTAACCTTCAAATACGAAGCGAATCCCTGCCTGGAATGTGATGGAGAATGAGTGTTCTTGCCTTCATTGTCCTTCCTAGTGCAATTCTGTTCCCTGTAAGTTGAACAACGGCTGCAGTTTTTCAGCCTACTTTGCTAGGACTTTGATGGGCATTTGTTATTACAGTATACTGAGTGAGTGAAAATGAGAGTTCCCTCTTAGCTCTGAAAAGCCAGATGTTTTACTCAAATTTCTGACTCTGAAAAATTACTATCCTTAACCCGGAATCTAAAGACATTTTGAGGTGAAAGTGCCTTGAGAGATTTTCCAAATCGCGTTTCGTGTGTGTGATTAAATGGACAGTTACCTCAAGTAATTGTTTTAAAAGTTGACCAAATCTCTCTGGTTTCTGACTAAGAGAATGTTAAATTCCCTCTTGAATGTGACATCTGTTGTTAGGTTGAAAGTCTGTCTGTCCTTAGAAAGGAATACTGGAGAATGCTTTATACTAATGATTGTTGTGCTGTCTTCTCACCGTGGTTAATAATCATCATCTCTTTTCCTTCCCCTTTCTTGCTGCCGCTGCCTCTTTCCTTTTCTTCCCTGTCTTCCCGTTACTTTTTGAATTTATTAAACTGGCCGATATATTTTTTCTTTGCTTTCCTTTGCTTTTAAATTCTGTGATCTCCTGCCCTACTCTGTCTTTCCCACTTGCTTGGGTTCCATGTTGCTAGCTTTTATGTTCGCACGCTCATTATCACCCTTTTTTGTACTTCAAATCCCAGCAGCTGCCCAGCCAGGCTCCTGAGCACAGCCCTGTGGTTTGTGGGACTGTGGAGAGTGCTCATCTTGCTGCCAGCACCCCTGTCACTGCAGCCAGCAGCCAGAAGCAAGGTTTGTGTGTAACAGCCTCCTTATCTTTGGTCATTTCCTCTATTATTTCATTGCCCTCAGCTCTTAAGAGCAAAACATTTGAGGATTATTTAGAGAGACACTTTTAAACAGAGCTTGAGATGGAAAATAAAGTGTTCTGTCTTTTGGAAAGTAAGGATAGTCAGTGAAATTTTTTCTATATTAATGCCTCACTGTCAATATATATTTATAGGTCAAAGCTTAGCTGCCTTAAACCGTTTTTTAGGAGCAAGGTTGGGGAAAATAAATGGACATAAATATGACCTTATAAGAATAACACAGTTTTATTTATATGTTATATGTATATTCCTGTGCATCTTGCTATTTTTAAAAACATGAAATGTTTCTTACAAGTTTGGTTTCTAAGGCCTCAGTTCTATAGTACTGAGTTCAAATCCTGGCTCCTTCATGCACTAGCTATTTGGTCTTGACAAGTCATTATCTGTGTACCTAAATTTCTTCACTTAAGTAATGGAATAAGACTTACCTCACAGGGTTGTTGTAGGTACATGCCTAACTTAAGAAAAATCCTTAGTAAATTATAGCCATTATTATTGATGCAGGAATCACAATAAGGTCCCACTCTTACTGACCTTAAACATGAAATGCCAAATTATTTGTTGCAATAAGTGGACACATCGCCTTTCGGATTATGAATAGAAAACTTCAAAGGAAATATGCCAGAAAGTGGGATGTCAGAGTCTCTATTTCCTGCCTAGTTCAATTTAGATTGATCTTAGCTAAAATTGGGATTCAGTTCTCACAAGGCACAGGGGAAGCAAGTGATTTGAGCATGGTTTTATAATGTTCTTTTACTTAATTCTAAGAATGGGTGGAAATCATAAATGTTTTCTGTTTCTTGAATTATTCACTCCTCCAGACCTCTTAATGTAGTTGGCTATTAGTAAATACACTCTCTAAAAATTATTGTTCAAAAAGCATTTAGGAATTGATACATAATCAAAATGGAGGTATTTATTATTATTGGTTTTTTACTGTACTGCAAGTTAATCACACTTATAAACTTTTGGTGTATTATTTCAGTGTTTTTTTATAGCATACAAAGATAATATGGTGTTATTCCCCTTGACTATTGAGGAGCCTAATAAACTTGAACAGAGACAGATCCTGTGTTTTGCTTTATAAGATAGTTTTGAACCAAAATATAGGTAATGAACCCTAACCTGGCATGCTTCTAAAAGTTGTACTGTCAGATGCTTTTTTTCAGGAGTGTTCTCTCAGAGACTCTTGCATGCTTAAAGCTAAATTTTTAAATATTAAAGCTATTTACCTTGTTGGAGTGCAGTTCATAGGCATTGTGGAAGACGACTTTCTATCCCCAATGATAAAGCAATTTTCAGCAAAAATCAGAATGTTTTCAATCTGAGTGGAGAATAATTTTCAGAGTATTTCCTTCAAAACTTTACTTCATTACTTTTGCACCATTGTAATTGCTAGTTAGAATTATGCTAAACATATTGAGTACTTATGCAAAGAGGCCTCCAAATATATCCTTTATACAGACGTCCTTTACACCTGGGCCATGGTGTAAAGAATCATGATGTCTTGATTATAGCACTGACCTGCTAAGATACTTAGATAATGAGAAACCCGCATTTTGTTACATTTAGGCTTTGATTTCCAGGAGGAATGTAGAAGTCTTTATTTCCTCTCAGTTTTTTATGTGTAGTGGAAATTTGAATATAAAATCAATACTTCAAATTGATGTTTGATGTAGAAATGGGTGAAATGGAAGGTGTTTCAGGTTACCTTAATGCAGAGAACAACTTGCATTTTAAATAGAGCTTTTAAGTAACTTTTTGGACCACTGAAGTCTTCCTCTTTGTACCAACTATTCTCCAAAAAACAGTAATTTTAATTTTCTATTTTTAATTTTTCCTATAACTTGCCAATATATGGAATCGTTTTTGGAGTAGTTTTATTTTTTACTTTTATTTTTATTTTTCATTTTTTTTATTTTGGTATTATTAATGTACAGTTACATGAGCAACATTATGGTTACTAGACTCCCCCTATTATCAAGTCCCCACCACATACTCCCATTACAGTCACTGTCTGTCAGCATAGTAAGATGCTATAGAATCACGGAGTAGTTTTATTTTTAAACCAAGTATATGTAACTTAAATAACATTAGAAAGGGCTCACCATTTTCCAGAGACTTTTTTTTTTTTACAATTGAGAAATTGCAAATTTTTCTTAACTATAGAGTCCTTTGGAAATTAAAGAAAGATGCAAAAATGCACTGTTTTCAAAGATTGCTGTATCACCCCCAGAAACAATAGATGATGCATTCTTCAGTCGAATCAGCTTTTTTCTCAATGAAAATGTCTTTACTGAGGGTTTGCATTGGATAACAGAACCCCATGTTAGCCCCAAAGTCTCCACCAGCTTGATTAACCTAAATACTTTTTTCTTAAACCCCACCTCCATTTTTTTTCTGAATTGGAAGAATACAGGATTTGAAATCATTTTCTGGTTCCAATACTTAACAGTTATTTGACCCTGGACTTGTGGAATCTCTATAACACTCAGTTTCCCCATCTGTGAAAAAGGAACATAATAGTTTCTACCCCACTGGTGGTTATAAGAATTAAAGGGTACTATGTATCGTATTTGACCCAGTTCCTGGTGCATAATAAGTGCTTAATAAATACTAGATGCCATTATTAAACTTATGATTTTCTCAGTTTTTGACATGCACAGCTGGAGTGGTTGTGTGAAGACCGAGTTTCCGGGCAACTATGCTATTTCCCATTTGTTTGGTACTTTGTAAAAACACAGGGAAGACTTAAGTTTGGTTTATGGACAGAAAGACTGTAAAATGAAAATCTTCAGTTGGTGTTGATTGTATATAGACAGAGCTTATATGATCGTTGTTTGATGTTGTTGAAGTGCATTCAGCCCAGTGCACTGAGGATATGGTACAGATAATATAAAACAAATCAAAGTAATTTGTGCCTTAGTCTTAGTGTTAGTGCCTTTTGAAAGCGCTTGCTGTATTTAGTAAATGGTATTCTGTTATAATTCAGCCATTTATAGCAATGTAGCTTAACTGGAATTCTTCTGGCATTTAGGATGCGACTATTCTCTGCCAAGTGAGAATGCCCATCAAATTGCAGGATACTTAGCATTCCTGGTCTCTGCCCATTAAATGGCAGTAGCATGTTTGCGGTCATGTGAGGCTTGTGACAACCAAAAGGCACCCATTGAAGCAGTTGGTTCCATCACCATATGAGAATAAAAGGGAACAGTTTTTTCCATCTTATAAATATGATATTCATTATAGAAACTATTAAAAGCAGAAAGGCAAAATCTATCTCATTATCCAGAGCCATTAATAAACTGTAATTCTAGATTTTCTCATATGCTTATGTTAATACTATGTGTTTTTTTAAGTTACCAAATTAGGTTTATGCCTCCTGCTTTTTAAAAACAACATTATATTATAAACAACTTTCCACATCATTAAATTCTCTTTTAAAAGCCTTTTTAAAAACCATTGCATAATATGTGATTGGATGCCTAGATCATCATTTCTTTAATAAGTTCCTCATTATTAGACATTTAGTCAATTTCCTTTTTTTTTTGCTGTTATAGTGTTTGTCCTCAAATATTCCAGACCTCTCTTTGTTCCCTCTTACATGATTATTTTCTTAGAAAAAAGTTCTTAAAGAGAATTCTCACAGATTCCTAAAGATGGCCAAGTGATATAAACATTTCTAATGCAGTATATTAGGTTTCATACTATTCATGGCTCTGCAAAGCACTCTTTTAATAGTAAACGTTCTTAGATAAAACCAGTGTTCTTTATTTAGATTTACTCTATTATACTTTTCAGCTTTCTGTATTAAAACTTTAATGAATGAGTTAAAGGATTTCAGAGTAAAGAACTCTCAAAATAATTAACTTGTTTCTAATTCTCTTAATTAATGTTAGATTTTTCTCAAGAGTATATAGGCATTGTGGTCCTAGACTTGCTTTTGTTTGATTTTTTTTTTCAGTATCATTAATTTTATTTCCCAAAATTAATGGCTCAGTTGACATACTCTTTTTAGGCTGTTAATATGAAAATTACTATTTTTTACTGTTTAATTTACAGTATCTAATTTTCATTCAGTGACCAGAAAGAGTGTTACTCTGATGTGCTTTCACAGTGTTATCATGTAATCTGGGTGACTATGTAGCAATTACTCCAGTGAGTTGGAAAGTATTTTCTGCAGAGGTATTTTCAGAAATACATATTTATGATATGTATGTCACATTCACATAATACATGTAATAGACATATTTCTTTGAAATACTTTTGACTCTTGCCCTGGTAACAGTCCGAAGGATTTGGCAGTGAGAGCCCTTATTGGTCTTATTTCTCCACTACAGTAAATAGTCAGAGTTCAATTTAAGAAACACTGGCTTCTACTTCCATAAATTAAACTGAATTTTAAGGCCAGTAGAAGTAGTTGCAGTGAGTAAATTAGACTTTAAGAGCTTAATGGTCATATTTACCATCTATTTATCTGATCAAGAGAACATTATTTTTCTTTCACAAACTTAACTATAATTTATTGTAAAGACTCATTTCACTGATGCATAAAGATGTCTAGCAGACAAAGTCAAGTCCTCTTCAGTTTAGATCGTCTTTTTAGTGTTGAAAATTTTTGTTTGTATTATCAGATATACCCATGAGTATCTGTTTTTCCAGTGAAGGCTGTGCATTGTGCTAAGAAAGCACAAGGCTGGAATCCAGTCCAAATCTCCTTTCGTTTTATCCTCCAAGGGATTAATCACATATCATTTTACCTAGAATTTTTAAATGTGGACATTTTTATGAACTAAAAGTTTCTTATATTTTTCTGACTCCTTTATTAGGAATATCAGTTTCTCTCTTTCTTTTGCTCTTGTTCTTTCTCTGTCTATATACACTCTTTTCATATAGTATTCCCAAATATTTCAGACATATATGTTGTGGGGTTTTTTTTTATTGGACTCGATTATCTGAAATTACCTATGGTCTCTTCTTAAAATATTTTTTTGTTAAACAATTGAAGACACAAGATAAGTTCCTATTTTTACACTTTTACCTTCTGGTTATATGCCACTTTTGGAAATGAAAGTTACTAATTTCTAACTGAATTTTTAGGTTCAGTGACTTGATTTCACTGAAAATAAATTTCACTGATAATAAATGACATCATGGTATCTTCTCTTCAAGTACAAATTTTTAAAGAATATACTGTTCACCATGTAAGAATTTATTCACTATGTAAGAATTTGTTCACCATGTAAGAACTTGTTCGTTATGCTTCAGAAGATTGGAGACTGACGAGAATTAGGCTTGAAATGGATAATAAATATGAGAGATGCCCTCTCAAAAAAAAAAAAAGAATATGTACAAGTAATATTCTTTATAAAAATTCCCCCAAATGCAGAGATAAATAATAAAAAATAATCAATCTATAATAATTTCATCTCCAATTGTTTATTTTTCAACTGTTCTGCCACTGTGGTGTATCCTAGGTAGAAAAATTTTCTACAGGGAACAAAATATAGTACAGATAATGGTCTCTCCATCCTAAATAAAAGTTCTGTTCCTATCCTAAAAATGGTTTAGCTTTAGTTTTCATGAGCTTTTCCCTTGTATTCTTGACATAATAATTTGGTGGCTTGGTTCCTTCTCTTACTCCACGTAAACTTTGTATGTATTGGTGATCAAGTGATAGTGAGTATAATTAGAAAAGAAAATATGACAGTGTTTTGAGAGCGGCAGAGTAAGTCTAATATTTTGTTCTGTCTTCTGCTCATGATTTGGAGTGTAAGAGATTAAAAGAATTGGCCCAAAATAATACAATATAATTTCTGATTCAAGAATTATTTTTAAATCTTTTATTTTTTCCTTCCTAGAAGAGAAGCCAAAACCGGATCCAGTGTTAAAGCCTCCTTCCCCAGTCCTTAGGCTAGTCCTTAGTGGAGAGAAGAAAGAACAAGGAGGCCAGATGTCTGAGACTGCTGCAGTAGGATCCATACTGGAGCTTCCTCTGCCTCCATCACCTACCACGGTTTCTTCAATTGCTCGAAGTACAATTGCTTCCCCCACCTCTGCTGCTCTTAGTAGCCAACCCATGTTCAGCACTGCTGTAGATGACAGATGTGAGCTCTCTTCCTCAAAAGAAGATAGAATTCCTATACCCAGCCCCACATCTTGCACAGAAACATCAGATCCATCACCAATAGATGTAATTGATGATGATATATGCAAGAAATCTTGTAATGTAGCACCAAACGATATTCCACTGATTTCTAGTACTAACCTAATTAATGAAATTAATGGAGTTAGTGAAAAATTACCAGCCACAGAGAGCACTGTGGAAATAGTAAAACAGGAGGTGTTGCCGTTGACTCTTGAATTGGAGATTTTGGAAAATCCCCCAGAAGAAATGAAAGTGGAGCATGTCCCAGCTCCCATTACCCCCTCCTTGGTCCCTTCCTTTTCTCCGCCTCCTCCAACTCCTCCGGCTTCTCCTCCTGCACCAGTCGCTGCTGCCACCACTAATGTCAGTACTGCTAGTGCTCCCGCCACAGTCCAGAGAGTCTTAGAAGAGGACGAGAGCATAAGAACTTGCCTTAGTGAAGATGCAAAACAGATTGAGAACAAAAAGGAGATGGAAGCAGATGGGCAAACAGAAGAAATTGTGGATTCTTACAATTTAAGTTTAAGAAAGAGCCCTGTCCCAGGTAAGTTATTCTGCCATTTACCTTATGATTGCTGGATATGAAAAGAAGCAGTGTTTTGAGTTATTTTTTAATTGACTACTTTCCTTGACTTCCAGAAACATCAAATGAATGCTGAAATTCCTAGTCTGGTTGCTGCAATGGTGTGTTTATGTCTTAGTGCAGCCTGCAAAAGAGTTAACTGCTCTTGTCTAAAAATGCAAATGAAATTTCAAATATACAAAATGCCTCAAAGGTATATGTCACTGTACATGTGTGTTTTTTTAATTTTAATTTTTGCCTCATTCATATGAGTCAGTTTCCTCAGTGGTTTAATTTTGTTGCTTTGGTGCTGGAAACCAGTTAAAACTGACTTGGTCGATAGTGCCTAATCTTGTCCTCTGAGAATTTTAAAGGCCACTTGATCCTAACCTTAAAGGAACACCTCTATGCAAGACCTCTTCTTTAATCTTAGAATTTGGAAAATAACAATTGGAATTTCAAAAGTTTATAAGTTGTTCTGAAAAATAAAAGTGCCCTCTCTGATTAACTCACAGATAAGTTTAATGCTCTTCCACTTTTTCTTTTAAAAGTTTCATTTTTTTCTGTAATTATTTTATTACTTCATCATTAATATTATCAAAGTGTTACATTTTTCCAAATTCATAATTATTTTTATTGCATGTCAGCATCATCTAGGATCTTGGGAACTAACCATTGGATTATTCTTTATTAAGGTATCACTGACATACACTCTTAATGAAGGTTTCACACATGAAAAACAATTTGGTTACTACATTCATCCATATCATCAAGTCCCCCCCATACCCCATTGAAGTCACTATCCATCAGTGTAGTAAGATGCCAGAGAGTCACTACTTGTCTTCTCTGTGCTGCACTGTTTTCCCTATGACACTCCCCACACCATGTATACTAATCATGATACCCCTCAATTCCCTTCTCCTTCCCTCCACACCCGCCCTCCCCCACGCCTCCCCTTTGGTAACTGCTAGTCCCTTCTTGGAGTCTGTGATTCTGCTGCTGTTTTGTTCCTTCAGTTTTGCTTTGCTGTTATATACTCGACAAATGAGTGAAGTCATTTGGTACTTGTCTTTCTCCACCTGGCTCACTTCACTGAGCATAATACCCTCTAGCTCCCTCTAAATGTTGTTGCAAATGGTAGGATTTGTTTTCTTGTGGCTGAATCGTATTCTGTTCTGTATATGTACCCCACCTTCTTTATCCATTCGTCTACTGATGGACACTTAGGTTGCTTCCATATCTTGGCTATTGTAAACAGTGCTGCGATAAATATAGGTGTGCATGTGACTTTTTGAGTCTGAGAACTTGTTTTCTTTGGGTAAATTCCTAGGGGTGGAATTCCTAGGAGTGGAATAGTATTTCTTTTCTATTTTTAGTCTTTTGGGGAACCTGCATATTGCTTTCTGCAATGGTTGAATTAATTTACATTCCCACCAGAGGTATAGGACAGTTCCCCTTTCTCCGCATCCTCACCAGCATTTGTTGTTCCTGGTCTTTTGGATGTTGGCCATCCTAACTGGCGTGAAGTGATATCTCATTGTGGTTTTAATTTGCATTTCCCTGATAATTAGCAGTATGGAGCATCTTTCCATCTGCCCATTGGCCATCTGAATTTCTTCTTTGGAGAACTGTCTGTCTGTTCATATCCTGTGCCCATTTTTTAATTGGGTTATTTGCTTTTTGGGTGAGGAGGTTTGTGAGTTCTTTATATATTTTGGATGTTAACCCCTTGTCGGATATGTCATTTACAAATATATTCTCCCATACTGCAGGATGCCTTTTTGTTCTGCTGATGGTGCCCTTTGCTGTACAGAAGCTTTTTAGCATGATGTAGTCCTATTTGTTCATTTTTTATATGTTTCCCTTGACTGAGGAGATGCATTCAGGAAAAAGTTACTCATGTTTATCTTCAAGAGATTTTTGCCTATGTTTTCTTCTAAGAGTTTTATGGTTTCATGACATACATTCAGGACTTTGATCCATTTCGAGTTTACTTTAGTGTATGGGGTTAGACAGTAATCCAGTTTCATTCTCCTACATGTAGTTGTCCAGTTTTCCCAACACCAGCTGTTGAAGAGGCTGTCATTTCCCTATTGTATGTCCATGACTCCTTTGTCACATATTAATTGACCATATATGCTTGTGTTAATATCTGGAGGGACTCTATTCTGTTCCACTGGTCTATGGGTCTGTTCTTGTGCCAGTACCAAATTGTCTTGATTACTGTGGCTTTGTAGTAGAACTTGAAGTTGGGGAGTGAGATCCCCCCTGCTTTATTCTTCCTTCTCAGGATTTCTTTGGCTATTCAGGGTCTTTTGTCTTTCCGTATGAGTTTTAGAACCAGTTGTTCCAGTTTGTTGAAGAATGCTGTCAATATTTTGATAGGGATTGTATTGAATCTGTAGATTGCTTTAGGCAGGATGGCCATTTTGACAATAATAATTCTTCCTAGCCAAGATCATGGGATGAATTTCCATTCATTAGTGTCCTCTTTAATTTCTCATAGAGTGTCTTATAGTTTTCATGGTATAGGTCTTACATTTCCTTGGTTAGGTTTATTCCTAGGTATTTTATTCTTTTTGATGGAATTGTGAATGAAATTGTTTTCCTGATTTCTCTCTCTGCTAGTTCATCATTAGTGTATAGGAATGCAACAGATATCTGTGTATTAATTTTGTATCTTGTAACTTTGCTGAATTCAGATATTAGTTCTAGTAGTTTCGGGGTGGTTTTGTTAGGGATTTTTATGTACAATATCATGTCACCTGCAAACAGTGACAATTTGGCTTCTTCCTTACTAATCTGGATGCCTTGTATTTCTTTGCGTTGTCTGATTGCTGTGGCTGGGACCTACAGAACTATGTTGAATAAAAGCAGGGAGAGTGGGCATCCTTGTCTTGTTCCTGGTCTTAGAGGAAAAGCTTTCAACTTCTTGCTGTTAAGTATAATGTTGGCTGTGGGTTTGTCATATATGGCCTTTATTATGTTGAGGTACTTGCCCTTTATGCCCATTTTGTGGAGAGTTTTTATCATGAGTGGATGTTGAATTTTGTCAAATGCTTTTTCACCATCTTTGGAGATGATCATGTGGCTTTTGTCCTTCTTTTTGTTGATGTGGTGGATGATGTTGATTGATTTTCTAATAATGTACCATCCTTGCATCCCAGGAATAAATCATATTTGATTATGATGGATGATCTTTTTATGTATTTTTGAATTTGGTTTACTAATATTTTGTTGAGAATTTTTGCATCTATGTTCATCAGGAATGTTGGTTTCTAATTTTCTTTTTTTTTTGTGGTGTCTTTGTCTGGTTTTGGTATTATAGTGATGCTGGCATCATAGAATGAGTTTGGAAGTATTCCCTCCTCTTCTACTTTTTGGAAAACTTTGAGGAGAATGGGTATTAGGTCTTCTCTAAATAAATGTCTGATAAAATTCAGCAGTGAAGCCATCTGGTCCAGGATTTTGTTCTTGGGTAGTTTTTGATTACTAGTTCAATTTCATTGCTAGTAATTGGTCTGTTCAGATTTGTTCTTTCTTCCTGTGTCAGTCTTGGAAGGTTTTATCTTTCTAGAAAGTTATCCATTTCTTCTAGGTTATCCAGTTTGTTAGCATATTAATTTTTCATACTATTCTCTAATAATTCTTTGTATTTCTATAGTGTCTGTGGTGATTTTTCTTTTCTCCTTCCTTATTCTGTTTATGTGGGCATACTCTTTTTTTTCTTTATGTCTAGCTAGGGGTTTATATATTTTGTTTATTTTCTTGAAGAACCAGCTCTTGGTTTCACTGAATCTTTCTGTTTTATTCTCAATTTTATTTATTTCTGCTCTGATATTTACTGTATCTCTCTTTCTACTGAATTTGGGCTTCATTTATTCTTCTTTTTCTAGTTTCATTAATTGTGAGTTTAGACTGTTCATTTGGGATTGTTCTTCTTTCTTCAGGTAAGCCTATATTGCAGTATACTTTCCTCTTAGAACTGCCTTCACTGTATCCTGCAGGTTTTGCTGTGTTGAGTTGTTGTTATCATTTGTCTTCATATATTGCTTGATCTTTTTTAATTTGGTCATTGATATTGCTTATTTGGCGGCATGTTGTTAAGTCTCCTTGTGTTTGTGGGCTTTTTGTTTTCCTTGCATAATTTATTTCTAGTTTCATACCTTTGTGGTCTGAGAAGCTAGTTAGCACAATTTAAATCTTTTTGTATTTACCGAGTCTCTTTTTGTGGCCTAGTTTATGATCTATTCTTGAAAATGTTCCATGTGTACGTGAGAGGAATGTATATCCTGCTGCTTTTGGGTAGAGTGTTCTGTAGATGTCTGTAGGTCCATCTGGTCTAATGTGTTGTTCAGTGCCTCTGTGTCCTTACTTATTTTCTGTCTGGTTTATCTGTCCTTTGGAGTGAGTGGTGTGTTGAAGTCTCCTAAAATGAATACATTGCATTCTATTTTCCCCTTTAAGTATGTTAGTATTTGTTTCACATATGTAGGTGCTCCTGTGTTGGGTGCATAGATATCTATAATGGTTATATCCTCTTGTTGGATTGACCCCTTTATCGTTATGTAATGTCGTTCTTTGTCTCTTGTTACTTTCTTTGTTTTAAAGTCTATTTTGTCTGATACAAGTACTGCAACACCTGCTTTTTTCTCCCTATCAGTTGCATGATATATCTTTTACCATCCCTTCACTTTCAGTCTGTATATGTTTTGGGGTTTGAAGTGAGTCTCTTGAAAGCAGCATATAGACAGGTCTTGTTTTTTTATCCATTCAGTGACTCTGTGTCTTTTGATTGGTGCTTTCAGACCATTTACATTTAGGGTGATTATCTATAGGTATATCTTATTGCCATTGCAGGCTTTAGATTCGTGGTTACCAAAGGTTCAAGGGCAACTTCCTTACTATCTAACAATCTAATTTAACTCACTTAGTATGCCATCACAAACACCACCTAAAGGTTCTTTTTTTTTCCCTCCTTT